CTGAGGGGGGCCTATCTGCATACCACCTTCCTTTCTTTTGTTTTTACTGAGGGGGGCCTATCTGCATACCACCTTCCTTTCTTTTGTTTCCCTGCTCAGAGCAGATAGGCCCCCCTCAGAAGTGCTTTTAGAAAGTGGGCCTTCCATTTATTTATGTGCCTTTTGTTCACTTTTTTTTTTTAAATGGGGGAAACTTTTCATCTATTTCTGAAAAGGGCGTGATGGTCATTTTAATATTTAAAAGTCTAAGGAAGATGTTTCGTGGTAAAATACCAGAAAGTCTTTTAAATTTTTGAAAATGACTCTTTAGGACAGGATAGGACTGACCCATTGCGTTTCTGGTGTGGCGTTGTGGATTAATGCGCTGGGCTGCCAAGTCGGTTTGAACTGCAAAGTTGCCAGTTCAAGCACACCAGCTGCTCCTCCAAAATACTATACAGTGTCTCTGTGAGTCGGAACCAACTCGACAGCACTTAACAAAAACAACAACAAAATTAAAATGTAGCTATAGAATTTTTTTTAAAGATTCCATGAATTAAAATGTTAGACTATCCAAGTCCTGGTGTAGCGCTGTGGGTTAATACAGCATTTGAACTGCAAGGTCGGCAGTTCAAGCTCACCAGCTGCTCCTTGCTATGGGTCGGAATCGACTCGATGGACTCAACAACAACAACAACAACATCTTGATGTTAAAACAACACTGAATGTATTAGCTTGGCACCAAATGCATTCAATTTAGTTTTTCAAGTGTGCTCCTTTTACACCATCACTCAGTAAACTGCCCACCAATGTGGAGATGCAATATATAGGAAATGATTGTTGATAAAATAAAGCAGAGGGCAGTGTAAGGGTTCCCAGTGAGTCCACTCAGCTTCGACAATTGTCAAGTCATGGTCAATCTCGATTTAGTTCTCTTTCTTCGTAAATACTATGTTGGATTATTCCAGACATCATTCAGTCTGTATCTCTAAAAAACAGCAGCTTTTTTCTTTTTTCCCCTCTAAATGATCATACTCCTAAATCTTCCCACAGCAAAGAAAGGAGGCCTCTGTGCAGGTTATTCTAGGAAAAATAATTATCTGAATATAGTGGAAAGTCAAATTTTGGGGAATAATCAGATATGTAAGACATAATTAAATAAATACCTAAATCTTTAATCAAAGATCTAGTCAGTGTTCACATTTCCTTGAATAAATCAGGACTGCTGTTTTAAAATTTATTTAACAGTGTGTTTGTTTGAATGCATTTGGGCAACATGTCTTTTGGGTTGCTTTTATTTCAGTTTGAACTGCAAGGTGAGTAGTTCAAACACACCAGCCACTCCATACACGGTCACTCACTAGGAGTTGGAATCAACTCGATGGTACTTAGCAACAACATATGGTTTTATCCAGAGGGTGGAGGGATTGTGAATTTACCTGGTGGAACCACATTGTCAGGAGCCCATAGGTAACACAAATGGTTAATATGCTTGGCTTACTGAAAGGCTGGAGGTTTGAGCCCCAAAGGTACCTCAAAAGAAAGGCCTGGTAATTTACTACTGAAAAATCAAGCCACTGGAAACCCTATGGAGCACAGTTCTGTCTGACACACATGGGATTATCATGAGTCAGAGGTGACTTGATGGCAACTGATTTAGCCATGCAGAATATTCTCTCTGATCAAACACTGCCTGTTCCCTGCATAACCAACCGCCTCCATGAAGCACCACTTGGCACCCCTTCTGGACACTTCTGTTGATGGCCCTTCTTTATTCTGGGGAAAAACGGCCCATAATTTGTCACCTTGAGATTTTCATTTATCTGAAGCTCCATGACTTAAGCCAAATTTGAGTTGATGACACACTTAAAATGAATTTATATACAAATGAAGTTAAGAGGTTAGTTGTATAATAAATGACTTGTAAATACTGAATTTTAGTCTGAAAACTGATGTTGAATGCCAACTATGCCCGATACTATGCTAGGAACTGGGGACATAAGCTGAAAGTACTGGAAACCATTTTCAGTCTTGAAAAATTCTGAAAGTTTCATGGTTAAAAAAACAAAAACACCTCAGAGCCTGGATTCTCTTCCTTTCCTCCAGAGCACACAGGAGACGCTGATAACACAGAGCACAGTCAAAAGGAACGGAATCAAGAAAGCAGTACCCATCTTCCACTTACTTTCTATCTGAGAATGGAGATCATTGACTATCACTTGTAGCTGCCCAATAGTCATGTCTCTCAGGTCAGTGGGTTTTAAACTTCTTTTCATCAAGCATTCACTTATATGAGGCATGTGTGGCAGCTAAAGATATAAACAAGGAGAAATGGAGGTGTGAAACAGAATACGTCTCCTGAATGTAAGACCCAGTTTTCTCTTAAAAAGATTCACTCTTGCTCACTCACACACTCACTTCAATGCAGGTTCGATGCTTTAAAAAGTTTCCAGTCTGAGACTTCCCCGATGTGGAGTACTCCATGCATATATCACATAGGCTGTGACATCTGAGAGTTCATTATTATAGTCACAGGTGAATTATTAGGGAGCTCCAATAATATCATTGGCATAGATAATAATATCAGCTACTCTTATTTCATTTACACTGTGCTACAAGCATCATGCAAAAAGATAAAAGCTGTTTACACTTTCTCTCAATGAATCCTCACAATTATGCTCTGACACAGGTGCTATCATCTGCATTTTATAGATGAGAAAACCAAGACTTCAGTAACTTACCTAGGGAGCCATATCAGGTCAACTGTAGAGCTAGAATTAAAAAATTCTAGAGTCCAGAACTCTGAACTACTACTCTCTCTTGCCTCATTGAAAGGCGGGAAACAAGGTCTGGCAACAGTGAGCTTGTCACAATCCACAGGTTCTGAACCTGAGATTGCTTTAAAGGAATTCAAACATTCCAATAACAGTCAATATCCCCCTTTGAGAAACACAGCAGAAATGAATCAAGAACAAAGTTTAGTTTTATGAAATGGGCTGCTCTTGTATCTTTCAGAGCTATGCAAGGAAAGAAAAAGAAACAAACTTAATTATTTCTCAATGATAGTGTCTTTTTGAAAACTGCCTTGGAGAAACCCAAGTTTGCATAATTCTGGGAAAGGACTGGGACAGTCTCAACCACCGGTAGCCACCAAAACCTCTCTTGCTTTTCAGTCTTCACTGCTTACAAGATCAGCGACGGGAGACTTTTTCCTGTTCTGTTTTTCCACTTCGACTTGCATCTTGGCCATTGGTTTGGCCATGGCGAGGGCCATTTTGGCTTCAGCTTGCAATTTCTTTTGCCTTGTGAGGAAGTCCATGTCATCCAGGGACTCAGATTCCTCTTCAGTAGTGTCTCTATCGGAATAGGAAGAACTCTGTTTGCTCTGTGAAGGGAAAAAGAGTAGCCCTGAGCTTTCCCAGCCAGTTATCACCCATCTGACATTGCGTTCCCTGAACCCTCTCACAAAGTGCTTGAGAGTTCACACAATTACCGCCATTAACTTAATTTGATACATATGAATCTCAACTAATAAAAAAATATATTTTTTTTCTTCAGTGTCAGTAATAGATTCTAGTATAAGTAGAAAAAGTACTATAATTGATTACAGAGAAAAATATACTTATGATAAAGTTGAAATGTTTCTTTGATGATTCTTGCCCTCAAGAATTTTTCCTGAAGTGACTAGACACTCAAAAATACTGAACCCAAAGCCAGAGGAATGTGTTATTACATAGAGTAGATAGGATTTTAGATGTCCAGTGAAGTTCTGGATGTTGCACTGTATGGCTTCCTGTTTTTTAGTCTTGTAAAAAAGGCACCATATGAGCCTTGCAGAGAGGAAACAATTGCAGGAAAAAGTACCGTGCTTGTTAAGCCAACTTCTATAATATTAGTCAAAGGAGTACTTTCCACACACAATCCTCCCAGCCTGGATGAGCAACCTCTATGTGTCCCACAGTCCCCCAACTTTTCATATGTGTCCAACTGCTAGTCTGTACTCACATTTGTTATCTTAATGGGGGAAGGAATGCTATTGAGCATATTTTCCCTAGGGTAATTTCTTAGGCTAGATCTGAATTTTTCTATGAAAAATCAGGTTTTACTATGAAAATAGTTAACTTTAATAAATCTTCTATCCTCATCAAAATCCTATAAGCTTGATTGTATTATAAGTTTGAGATTTCAATCATTGCCCCAAAGTTTAGAAGCATGTAATCTTAAGAAGCATTGATGTTTCTTAGTGCTTGTTCCTGATGAGCAGAAGAAAAAGCTAGGTGACCAGGAGAGAACTGTACCAAGTTTCAGTCTGGTACTTACTAGACTTACCATGGGTGACAAGGGGGTGTCCAAGCTTGTTTCAGTCTTACTGTCATCAGCATCACTGTCCTTGTCACTGCCGCTGTCATTGACGAAGCATATTTGCAGGTTCATCCCACTCTGTAGTCTGGGCAGAAACAAACAACACTCATTGCACTTAGCTATCTCTTATTTGCTTGCAGCACATAGAACTGACCGATTCTGCCAATAAAAAGTAACTGTAGTCTTGGCCGAGGGGAGTGAGGGACTCATATTGTTCCTAATGTAAAACTGACAACTTTCATGGACGCTCCTTATACCCTATCAAGGAACCCTGGTGATGCAGTGTTTAAGCATTATGACAGAAATTTCTATAGTACCTACCAGCGGCTCCAGGGCAGGAAGATGTGGCAGTCTGCGTCTGTAAAGATTGACAGCTTTGGCAACCCATGGGGCAGCTCTACTGTGTCCTATAGGGTCACTTTGGGTTGGAATTGACTCAATAGCACACAACAACAACATTCTATTTTAAGGTTAATGCTAAGTGAAAAGTAATTTAAGGCCGTATATTAAACCACCCAGCATAATACCAGATGTATAATTAGCGCACAATGAGAATGTGCTGAGTTACTGTGTTTGCATTCCTGTTGATGCAGATGAGTGGGGTCCTTGGCCACATAAGCCTGCCTGGATACCATCCAGTGTCCTGTCCTGGGGGACAATCCAAAGCAGCTCACTTAAGCCAGCATCTCAGGGCTGCTGCGCTCTATAAAATAAAGACTCCTTTTATTTTTATCCCCCCTAATTGATAGAACAGGGTCATCTGAATGAAATCTTTATTCAGGGCATCTATTTGCCAACAGAAAACATAGGAAGCACATTTATGACATTATAACAGGTTTACCTGAGCGAAACCTAAGGCAGCCCCAAACTCATACAGACACCATCTTTAACACACAGGCGATTATAGATAGTGACCTCTTGGGAGCTCATTATGTTTGTGGCAAACCCTGAGCCTCCAGGAGTGATGATGCTAGAAATGCAGTCATAAAAGGTAACCCAGCTGTGGATTTGTTACTTTTGTCCTAACCTTCTTTTGAAGCTGCATATATATCAACATTGCTTGCCAATAAAGAGGTTTTTTTTTTTAAATAGTTTCCTTAGTGCCTCTCATAGCCCCAGTCAGTCCTTTGTAAACGTAAAAGAAGAAAAGGCAAAAGGAGATTCCTGGGCAACAAGGGATCATAAAGAGGCTGATCTAGCCAGGTCTGGAGCAGAGGTCTCTGAATCTGGGTGGAAGTAATACTGCCATAGGGAGAAATGCAAAGAGCAACTTGTCTGAGATTGTTTGCTGTTGTTAAGTACCATCGAGTCGGTTCCGACCCATAGCGACCCTGTACAGGGTTTCGACATCTACAGGGAATCTTTGTAAAAATTCCTCAGATGACTTATTATTATTTCACGTGCTTCTTTGATCAAAAACAATACAGAACCCAGGAAAAGAAAATCTATTTATTTAACTGACATCATTCAGAATTGTTATGGGTATGTGCTGCCACCTATTGTTAAATTTTATAATGAAAAATTCCAGATTATTCCCCTCTGGAGGACAATGAGTTTGGTTTGGTTTAAGGAAATCCAAGGAGAACCGAGCTCAGAGGTAGGGGTTCTACTGTGAGGCTCAGGTTGTAGAAGGTCAATTGGACTTGGGTTCTGAAGCCTCACCTTGTTTTACAGATATGGTACTTAACCTCTATGAATTCCAGTTTCTTCATCTGTAAAGTGGGGTGAATAAGACCCAACTCCCAACATTCTGTAGGATGGATTAAAAGAGATGAACGTTTGGCCCATGGCAGGTGCGGCATACATGTTGTTGACCTTCCTGTCTCCTGTTCCTAACAGCCTAGTAAAAGGCACACCTAATTTTAGAGTTGATGTGACTTCGTAAGAGACTTTTAAAGCCACTTACTTGAACAGCAATTCCCTGCTGTACAAGCAACTCTCTGACAGAGCATATTCAAGCTATCCTTAACTGCTAGCCAGAATTTGTTACTTTTTTAACTTTCTTCCATTGGATTTTTTTTTTCCTGGAGAAATTTAAAATATATAATATAATTAAGTCATAAAATTTTAATATCTGTAGATGGTCTTAAAAGTAAAACAAACGGTCCCATTAGAATAAAAGTCCAGATCTATAGATTGGAATATGGCAGGATGAAAAACAGATGCATTTTAGAGCCTAACCTAATTTGGATCTTTATTACCTAGAATTTTCTATTTTTAAAATACATTATTTTTTACTTGGAGTCCTGGTGTGGCCCTGGACTATAGGATAAGCACCTTGCAAGGTCAGTGGCTCAGACTCACCCACCACTCTCAGAAGCCCTGTTCAGGATCACTATGAGTTGAAACTGATTTGACAGCACTTAACAACAATAACTTTTCACTATTGACTATCCAACATTTCTAGTTTACAACAATAATTTTTAAAATCTTCTGTCCAGCAGTGTTGTGGGTTTACGAGTTGGGCTGCTAACCGCAAGGTCATCAGTTTGAATCTACCAGTGGCTTGGTGAGAAAAAGATGAGGATTTCTGCTTCTGTTTCTGATTTATAGCCTCGGAAACCCTATGTTGTTATCGTTAAACGCCTTCGAATCAGTTCTGACCCATAGCATCCCTGTATAGGGTTTCCGAGGAAAGGCTGGTGAGCTTGAATCGCAGATATTGCATTTCAAACAGGCCTTGTAGTCAGGTGCATTAACCCGCAGCACCACACCAGGACTCCCGGAAACCCTATTTGCTATGGGTCAGAATCAACTCCATGGCACACAATCACCACCACCATCATCCAGCTGTGCTGCGCAGCAACAAGTGGCAAGTTTTGAGGAAACAGCAACACTGGCTGAGGCACTCAGGTTTACGTGTCAACTTGGCTGGGCCATGGTTCTCAGTCATCTTGCAATGATGTAATGATGAAATATAGCGGTTATATGTTAATATAATTCGGCAGTTATGTGAAGATGTTGTTATTCTCCGTTTTGACATGATGTCAATTTTTACCTAACAACCTGGTCTTTGGAACTTAACCAGGTCCATATGAAGTAGTTAGCCACAGGATACATAGATTGTAAAAATAACTCACAATACAAATAACAAAGTAAGGTTTGATGCTGGATGAGAAGCACCATACTGCTAACCACAAAGAAGGCAGTTCAAACCCACCCGCCACTCCTTGGAAACCCTATATAGGGTCACTATGGGTTGGAACAGACTTGGCGGCACTTAATAACAACATGATATATATCTTCACTGTGAAGGAAAATGTGATAATAAATTCTGTTGTTCTGCCCTCAAACGAACCTTTCTACAAAGGATCAACCTAGATCTGAATCAGTCATTACATACAACATTTCAAATGCAAGAATAACAGAGAGAAAAAAGGGAAGAATTTAGTAGTTGGGGTGAAAAGAAAAAAAGCATCTCAGGTAGAAATTCAGAAAATCGCCTTAGTACCATATTATCACCACAGGAAACTGAGCTGAGCTTCTTACAGGGTGAGACTTATAATTCCTTATAGTGGTAATCACAAAGAATGTTACTCTCAGGAAAAGGAAATTATATGACATACCAGCTAATGGTTCAGAAGGGATTTTAGTAAAGGCATCTTATAACGAGTTCAGGTTTCAAGAAGGATTTGTTTGCTGTTAGCCTTTAAGCGGGTTTTAAGATGAGACAGCTTTGGGTGAAACCCAACTAGGTTCTAAGCAGCGGCCTGATTGTGGGTGGTGTGTGGAGCCCTGCTAAAGGTCTCTGTGCCACAGGATCATAGAACAGATAACCGCAGTCAGTGCCCCTTTCACCATTGGGGACTCATGGCTGTTCTCGATCCTCAACTCTGGAAACTGGAGCTCCCAAGCGGACAGCTCTGTCCTGGATGGACGAGCCTCTGTCCCCGCACAACAGAGCATCTGGCCACACTTAGGCATATAACCCTATAAATGTTACATTCAGGTTGAATTTGCCAGGGTCTTTAAAGCACAGTCAGAAATGCAAACAAAACACTATCCTCAGCATGTTCATTTGAGATATAATTTCTAAGTATCCATTTCCAGTGGCAGTTAGTAGAGCATTGTGTGCAAAAAGGCTGCCTGAAGTCAGCCTTGCCTGTCAATTTTATTTCTGAAAGGTCTGTGTCCTGATTATCGCAGAAATCTATTCTCCTTTATGCACCACAAGGCAATTAACAAAACAACTTCACTGCTGCTGGGAGCTACTGATGGGGACGCCAAGAGTCTGCAATGAGTGTGCTCTGTGTAGAGAACGCTCTGGAAACATGAAGAGATGAAAGTAAAGTATGTCTTCTGGACACAGTGTGTGTGTATATGTGTGTGTGTGTGCGTGTTGGGGGCTTTTAGGAGTGTCTGTTCCATGACAATGGCATCTACAGGGAGGACAACTGTGACTTAGAAAACATTTGTGTTGACTTTCAACTATCACGAGTTAAAAAGGATATTAAAATATGCACAGAATTGAGAAGATGGAAACAATGAAATGCTCATAACTGCTCACAGGATATCTAAAAAATCTGGCCAAGCAGTAGTAATATTATCTGGTATAAAGAATTTTTTTTTTTTTTTTAAATACAGGGGCAAGACTAGTTTAGTAACTGAAAGGAACAACGCATGGTCCTTAAGGGCTGCTGGTGGGGCAGTAGCCATTGTTGGTTGTTAGTGTCTTTTAGTGGGTTCTCCCTGACCTGGTCTTTTCCATAGCCTTGGACACTGATGACTGGAATTAAGCTGGTTTGAGGCCGGCTCTGAATCCCAGAACTAACCTGAGTTTTCAGATTTTAAAAATGGGAATTTCTCAGCACCAGTTTAGAATATCAGCATTTAGGAGCAGACATGTAGAAAGAGCTCTTTGGTTTTTATCCCTCTGTATCCTGCCTTGGACTCCTGGAGTGGCACTGTAGGATAAGCACTGGACTGCGAACCACAAGGCTGGCAGTTCAAATCCACCAGCTGCTCCTCGGAAACCCTGTACAGGGTTGCTATAAGTCAGAATCGACTCGACAGCACTTAACAACAACCACCCTGCCTTAGTTCACACTTCACTTGAACTGTTGCATTGAATTTCAGCCCAAAAGT